TATTCGGTCGTGACCGAATCTTTTACACCCATTACTGTGACGCTGAAAAAAGAAAAGAAAAAAACTAAGTCTTCATACTCTATTATATTGTATGGGCGCAGTTGATATTTTCTATTTTCAGGATAAAAGTGGAAATTTATATGATTTATGTGTTGTACTTTATGATAGGCAAAAAAAAAAAAGTGAAGCAAAGGTGTTCACCGGTTTTGGTACATAGGCGCGCGTGTTCTTGAAAAGGTTTGGATCCTTTTCGCAAACGGGGGAATATTCATCACATATACTGCACAATTGGGCAGCGGGACAAATGGGTAAATGAACGGACGGACATGCTTATTTGCAATCCGAATTACAAACTGGCCAAGAATTTATATACATTACGGGCATGCTTTTGAAGCATGTTTAAATCGATTCAGAATTTGATGCTGCTGAAGAGTATATATACTTTGCGGGGTCTCTGATGCTTCCTTCCGCAACCGGACAGAGGGAAATACTTATAGCGATTCAGAATATGACGCTGATTAAGAATGTGTACACTTTAAAAGGTCACTGAAGCTTCATTCTGGGCGTTGCAAACGTTCTCACAAAATGAATATACACCTCATGCTTCGATGATGTGTATACAAAAAAAAATTGAATTAACTAAATTCAAATTAGGAACAATTCAATGTCGAATTATTTTAATAACTACGAACATGGAGTCACTGTCTCTTTACCATAAGCCCATGGCAAGTAAATATATTTTCGAAATTTTCGTACGCCGAAGCCAAGGTGCAATTACATTGAATATTAAATTGATTAGGCTGTGGTTATAACCATCATCGAAGGATGTGGGGTATATTCAATTTGTCAAAACGTTTGCAGTGTGTAGAAGGAAGCTTCAAGGACGCCACAAAGTATGGATATTTTAAGCAGAATAAATTCTTAATCAAAGGGGATATGTGAACTGACGGAGAATCGGCTTTTTGCTCGCTACTCACAAACTGCAGCAGGTACTCCTATAATGTGTGAACGTGTATTCTATGGATGTGCTATAATATATGCACAGAAATGGAATAACTTGGCCATGCCTACCTAGTATCAGTGTACAGTATATAACGTTTTCATTTTCCTATCAAAACCATTGTCAGGGTCGGAAGGAAGTTTCAAAAATTCCATAAGCTGCGTACATTCTTAACCAGTGTTAAATATGAAATGCGCTTAAAACATGTTTGTCTCTCCATCTGTCCATTCGTCTGTCAGCCCAACCGTATAGTATCTGTGATATACGTACTCCCATGGGAACACCTTTGCTGCAACAAAAATTCCACACAAATTTCCACTTCCGCCCTTCCGAAAATTTGGTCTTTTCCGTTTTTTTATTTTTTATTTTTTTTTACGTATAAAATATTCAGTGATAGCCGAATATGATTTTTCTTTTTTTGGTTTCCTTCGACTACAAATATATTTTGTCTATCAGGCAACTAACGTAAGTTCCAAAAACAAAAATTGGCATTAAACTCTACACCTCGAGAGTAACATGTTGCTGTAGAACATGCTTCAAATTGTGTGTAGTAATGTGCTGCACTTAATGGTGACACATCACGTCATCTACAGTAAGTATGACAAAACTCTTCGTCAAGTCATTGCTACAATCCACACATTTTTGTGTTATAATAATCGCAAACAACGAAAAACCTCAGTTAGAAGCTATTAAAATCATATTAAAAAAAATTATTCCCTTTTCCTTTTTTTTCTTGTTTTAATTTATAATCCTTTGCGTGACAATGAGACAGAGTTGCATGAACTTTTCGATCTTAGAAGTAATAAAAATATTTCTGTTCTTTGCTTTAAATGTGGCTTGGTATTTTCATGTTCCGAAGGAGGAGGAAAAATTAATTCTACTATTGCATAAATAATATTATGAAATTCACACTGGACATGCTTTGAGCCTTGTCGAACTATGCATCTCCTCTTAATTATGCAAATGGTGCAAAAATTAAAATGTGTAACGTTTTCATAGTGGCATTCATTTGCTTAAGCTCTTTTTAAGGTTATGTCGTTTGAGTCATTTGCGTTTAGGTTTCATCATTCATTTTTGTTTAATGCAACCAAAGTATTCAAATTTCTTCCGTCAATATTCGTTTTTCCGAACAGTTGAACACCTTGTCAAAAAATTTCGAATCGAAACGTACGCCTTATAATGCTCTCACGCCAATAAAACACAAAGTTATTACTGCGGCTTTTATTTTTCGAAGTAAACTTTTAGAGAAGTAAGGACTTGAGTTAAGAGAAAGAGAAATATATGTAAATTAAAAGGGAAAAGTGCTTTGTCGTATTCCACTAAACTGTGTTTTTAGACGGTGTCTTAAAACTGTAAAATAAAATGAAATATTAAGCAAGTTACATTTAAATTACATATAATCTTATGATCCATAAAATTAACTAAGCAGCCGGCGGTTAAAGTCGGTATAAGTTGTATTTAATTTTTACAAGTAAATCTAAGTATTAATCGTTATATAATGCCCGTAAATTATTGCTAATCTTGAGGGCATTGTGCTTTTGCACTGCTGCAACGCCGAGGTCCTCAAAGAACTGGACGCTTTCAAGCTCATAGTTGGCGATAAAATATTCCAATTCTCTTCATATCTCGATGTTCTTATTACGAACAATGACACGTTGACAGCAATAACCACTCGGAGAGGTATAGTCAAGACTGGCGCCGGACATCTCGGTTGATAACATAAAATGTTACCTTACTGCAAGACCCGTGTCGGTCAATCTAAATCGTATTGGTATTTTCAAATTGGCTCCATTTCAACTTAGAGCTATCACGAGCTTTCTTTTCGAAAGAATTCAGCGAAATTTTGTTAAATAAATCATTGTGACTGCTTGGATCCTTAATAAACGCAGTTACTCCTCATGATATGCCCCGAAACACTAACACGTTTGACCCTTGACCTACAAAAAAATGAATGTTTCCGCAAGTCTCACTCTGTCGGCTAAGTACGAGCGAATAAGTTTCACAGCGGTACGTAAGAAGTTTGGTACAAGAAGTGTCACGATCAGTAAAGTCAAAAGTCTTCAATGCTACACCGTATAGTATCCGTAATTTTGATTAGGGCGATGACTATAATAGGCACTGCATATTAGAAACCTCAACAAATACAAATTCAACAACCCAGGCCAAGAACTGAATTGCAAACCAATCACGAAGGACTACAATATCTCTTTCGTTTATCGAAAAAGTCTTCTCTTCTTATTGCAAATAATGCTGTAATCTATTGTAGAAGAAACATCACTCTGTAGTAACCAAATATTAGTGTTCTTTACCGAATTTATGAATGGCGAAACGCGTTAGGATTAAAAGTTCATCAGCAACGAGTCATTGTTTAAAAAATCATAAACTTCAAATACTAAAAAGTTGCTATAAAATTTGCGTGACTAAGATAACTCATTACCTAAAAATTTTGCATAACAAATTTCAAAAGCAAATCATTGAATCCCAAGTTGTTGTTAAAAATATTTTGTTGCAAAACATTTATAAAGCAATTGTTTTATAGACTTGTAAACACTGCATACCCTAGATAGATTGCAACACTGCGCGCCACAACATTATTGTCACAATGTAATAGGAAATTACTCGCGCTCTTGTTATATATGTATTGCAAACAATTAAGCTATGGAAAATTTATTGTTTTCAGTTTTTGATATGCAAAAAAAAAAAAAAAGAAAAAAAAAACAACTTTAATTAAACGGCTTTTATTACAGAGTCAAAAGGATGAATGTGTGCGAAACTGTTTTTTTGGAGTTGCGTTGTTTTATGCCCTTTTTCATTCTTTTTTGGGCAAACGTGACTAAAAAATAATAAAGAACCAACGGGGAGTTAAAGTTATGACAAGTTAAAAAAAGAGTAAAATCCTGACAAGCTTATCTACCAATGTAATAAAGTTAAGTAAGCAAACAGACACTAAGCCCACCGTTGCTGTTTTAAGGCAGGCCAATGAATGCTGAAAAGAAAAATTTTATTGAAATCGAAAAAGAGAGAGAGAGTGTGTGAGAGATGCATTTTGTAATAATTAGGCCGGAATTAGGTCGTACGTGAGTTTTCATAAAAGTCGCAACTTATTTTCATTAAATTAAGGGTAAAGCCACAGTTTTATCTTTCTAATCAAATTAATTCTATTGTAGCCTTTAGGAAAATAAAAAGAAGTAAGAACGATGTCGTCGCTTTAGGACAATTCTTCTACATCTTCTTCTTACTTGAAAGCAGTCCATTTTATCAAACATGTGCAGGACATTTTCCCAGGTATTAAAAAACACTGCTAACTGCTTCTGTAAGTCACAAGCTACATTTCACAAACTTTTGGAGGCGAGTTTTTAGGTGAGTTAACCGTTTTTGTCCGTAATTTCTACAATTGTGTTCGCTAAGATTGGAGGAGAAAATCATTGTGTTCACTATCTTTTTATGACCCGTTAACTGAGGTTTGACTTTCCTTTTACCAAAAACATGAATCCATTTTTATATCTATTTTTTTACTACGAACGGGGAGTGGCATGTGCTTCGAATTAAAAATGATGTTTTCGAGGATTTAAAGGGCTATATTAGTTCCACCCAAAGCGATACACTTACTCCAACTTACTCTTTACGAGTCGGATACGTAATCACTAGCCCTCTACAAAACTACATCATGGAAAAAATCGCTCAATTTTTTTCAGGATATGGCTTTTTAATCCTCTTGCGGCTAACAACCTGAGATTAATTTTAAATTCATGTCTTAAATTTCATCAAGTGTAGTCACTTTGTATGAAGGATAAATGAGTTTCGTAATTGCACGGTCCACAAAATATTAGCTTAGACAACCCAAGCTGTTCGTTTTTCCCCTGATTCAATACTGAAAGTAATTTCACTAGTATTCTGATTTTATAGGAAATCGCGTGTGTGTGTTTTTTTCGCCTATACTCTCTCACTCTCTCTTTTCGAAGTACAGATTTATATATATTTCCGAAGTTTTATCACTTACCGGCTCTAACATGAACATCTCTTGAGATAATTGTGCCAAATTGATTCCGGGCCAAACAAGCATAGACTTGAGCATGAACTTCTTGACGATAATCTTCAGCTCTGAATGGTGGAAAAACTAATTTTCCATCAGAGGAAATTTGACGCAAGCCGGGAACATCACCAACGGCAGTACCATCGCTACGAATCCAAATAATTTCAGGCATAGGGTTTCCGCTAGCTTTGCATTCAATTTCGGCACCCGTCGAATTTGAGAAATCAATGCGATTGGTGGGCTCCTTAAGAAAGACGGGTCCTTTTTGATCGGCATCAGGAGGATTTGCGGCCAGCGTAAATGGAGCTATGGGAAAAGAATTAATTAACGAAACTTTTAAATTTTTAAAAACTGTAGACAGCAAAAAAAAAGACTTTTTTCTTTTAATTGAAAATAATATTTCCTTGACGACAACAACCCGCGACCATATTTACACAATACACTTAATAATATTACATAGTGAAAACAAATTTCAGATTCGAGATGACAAACTCAACAATTCTACATATGTATGTATGTATGTATGTATGTTCAGATACGGATCAGTGACTTATTACACAGATAACAAAATGGATATGTTGGTATATTTGCTGCCTTAGCAGCTTACTGTGTGGTGGCTAAGCTAACGTAAACCACAGTTTAATGGATATTTACAAAGCAAATAATATAAAAGGGTGACAAAAAACTTTTTAGAACCACATGCTATCATTTCATATTCTTCTTTACTTTGCATGCTTCACAAATCCACATCTCCTATCGGGTGCGCAAACTTTTTTGTCTGTTGCTGACTCTTCTCTATTCATTGTTTTTCTCATCATCCATGTGCTTGGGAAAAGCAAAGGGAAAAAGATGTCGTTAACATTTTTATCTCTCTGACGTCACCATCATCTTCACCATAATATAGGCGAGAATTTTATAGCTTGTCACCACCAGCAAGGAAAAAGCTTACTTAATTTGTTATTACGTCTGCAACCATTGACAAGCAACAAAGCTTCATATAGAGCGGTTTATAAACCGTTGTTTACAATACAGTACAGTAGAGTAAATCACAATACCTCAAAGTGCCGTATGGTTCAACACAGTGTTCTACACTTCAAATGTATGAAAGTCTCAGATTCCTTTGATCCTGTATGTAATCACCGGGTTAATTATTTATAATGGGCAATGTAAGCCACATCTCTTATTGACTTATTAGTCCATTTAAACGCAATATAAAGAAAAAAAAAAGAAAAAAGCGTCAATGATGACTATTTTACTTGCAATACGTCAAGGAACAAGAAAAGAAGTTTACAGCAGAGCTTGCGGTATTTTACGGTGTTCTTAAGGTTGCTATGAAAGGTTTACCACAACTCTTTTTAATCGTTTTCACAGTCTCTTTACGCGGTATCTGTTCAACAAGAAAAAATCAATATCAAATGAGGAAAGACAAAAAACAACAATACCTTGAACAGTGGTAAAAAAATGATATTTAAAAATTATTTGTACATATATTCATACGAACATTCATACAGGCAAGCTTCAAAAAACAAATTTAAAAAATTTGAAAGATGCCTTAGTGAGCGCTTCAAGTATTATTGTTTGTACGAAAATATGGTTTACATTTCAAATTTTTATTTGTTCAGAAATACAACTGATTGATACATCATTTATAATTAAAAAAAGTTTATATAAAGCATAATTAATGACTAACTATCCCATAAAAGAAGAAAGAAGAATAGCATGAAATATTTCAGTTCAACGACCCATAACAACTTTAGAGAATGCGGATAATTTTTGTAATTAAAATGTATTTTTTTACTCTGTAAGCATTAATTTAAATCATAAATTAGGAATGAAAATATATAATGTTACCCTTGTAAAGTCAAAATTTTTGATGAAAATAATACTTATGTACGAGTATAATTATCGCTGCCATTATACTTGCACAGTTCAATTATTTAGAACATTTCCGTTGTGTGATCATAAATAAATAAATATTCAATAGACGCGAAAATCATAATGACAAACGTATAATTGCTGTTTAAACAATAGAATATCAACTACGTGTCTCGAATACAAAATAATACAATTACGTGCTGTGTCAGTACATTAGACCATCGTCATAAGCGTAGAAATAAAAAAGAGTGCATAATTAAATACATTTAATTAGAGACAGGCCACCTGCTTAAATAAAACTATCCCAACATACTATATAAATGAAATGTTTCGGATGCAGACATAAAAAACCAGACAAAAAAAAGGTCCTATTTTCTATTCATAACAAAAATCAAACAGCCGAGCAATCATTTCTCAAAAACATTTTGATATTCATAAAGACGTTGCAGTTAATACAGCTCAGGGGTTCATAAATAGATGATCTAAAGTATTCATTGACCCAGATGTTACCAAGCGCTTGTACACTTTGTCAGTTAGATCAACTCTTGAGCACTCGTCGGTAGCTTAGCTTCCTAGTTATAGATGTAATGTCATGTTATTTTGGAGTCTGTTCAACGGGACGTTTTGATGCTTGGTTTGCCAGGTTTGAGATGGGATCCTACGCTACCTCTTCCACCATATATTAATAGACTGAAGCTCGTTAACCCTTGAAAAAAGGGGTGTAACTAACCTTCATTTTTAAGCTAATAAAAGGAGATGTTCTTTCGCCGTCTTTATTAGAACTTATTAATATTCACATCTCCGGTAGGGTTTGCGGTGGGATTCTGTTCTATCTCTTCAACCCTGTAATAGTACACTGAAGCACATTGATTTACCTACCCTTAAAAAAAACGAGAGAACGAGTGCAGGATGTAACCTTTGTCTTTAAGCTAATAAAAGGAGATATTTTTTCGCGGTTTTATTAGAACTTATTAATATTCACATCCCCAGTAGGGTGTCAAGACACTTTGTTCACTTGCAGCTACTAAAATGCCGAACCAATTATGAGTTGTTCACTCCGTTTTGAGTAATGTGTCCTGTCCGTTTTGTCCGTTAATAAGGTTAAAAGTAGAATATTGTATAACTAACAGCTAAATATTTTCGACGTTTGAACAATACACGCAGATTGAATCATAATATTCCTTTATATTTGATTTTGTTTCTCATTTGTCATTATTAACGCAGAGCACACATTTATTCGTTATTGTATATCCTTGTATCTTGATTTAGGGTTTAGTTGATTGCCAGTGTATACCAGTGTAACCTTAAGCCTAAGGTACTCTTTTTCAAATTTCTTCCTTTTTTTTTCGCTGATTGTATTTGGAGAACATTTTTATTCACCTGAAAATGAGATCCTATTGAAGCGGAAGCAAGTGTTAATTGCAGAAGAAGTCCATTTAAGAGAGAAACCCAATCTAGTTGATTGCAACAAGACCTGTACCTGATTTGATTTCGCTCGGTCCACTTTTTCTATTGGCAAATACTTTCGAATAAAGTCAGAGTGTTTTAGATTAACATTGAATGTCGAAGAGTTTAGTAGAAAGTTTTTGCATATCAATAGACCCATTGGCCTGCATTTCCTGACTTGGCAGGAATGTGGGGTTTTATTAGAGAGAATAAGCGGTATATAGCAAAAATGGTCTTTTAAAAAAAGCTTTAAGATCTTAAGCGTACGAAAAACATATAACAATAAAAATAGATCGCTGCAACGCAAATGTGTCAGATAATATAATAGCGAAGCTCGGCTCAAACACAGAATATTTCCATTTTAAGAACCGCAATTTTCAATCAATTTTTTCGACTTAAATGATCGTCAAGAAAACTATGAGAAGATAATGATGAACGTGGAAAAATTTTAAGTAATGCAAAATCTAGATTTCTCTAACATAAATGTATGGCGGTGTGTGGTATTTGAAATTATGAGATGCGTTTATCCAAGCGTTACTAGAATATTTTCGGTAAGTTAATTTAAATCTTATTTGTTAACAAAAGATTTGCTTTTATAATTCCTTAGTACGTACAAAAATTAAGTGATACTTAAATGATACGATCCATGCCACGCAATTCTTAAGTGAAAGATGCCTAGCGGTGCCGATATTTTCATTTTTAAATAATTTTCAAAAACATGATTTTTTTTTTAGTAGCCAACTATATCTTTAATAACCTCCTCGAATATTATTGTCTTTCGTTCCCTTCGAAAAAAATAATGCTTTTTTTTTTAATGCTGTTACTTTAAACAGGGTTGCAAGCAAAGATGTGTGGATAACAATGTGCCGTTCTTGAAATGATTTATTGCTGCCTTCTGTCAATCACTATCGATACAAACTTGCAAAAAAAATCAAACACTAATTATTAGCAGTGAAAACTATCTGACTGCTCAAACCGCTACAATCATTGCAAAGGACGAAGTTATTACTTGCTTTCGAGTATTCACTTTTAATCATAAATGCTTATATTCGACCTAAGCATTACTTTTTGTCCCTTTTGTTCTAAAACTCTGCCAGAAATGAAAGTACCAAAAAAAAGAAAAAAGATGCAAGAACAATAGCCAAGTGCTGGCATGACAATACAACAGCATTGTGTTGATCCGATTAAGTTGAAAAAACAACACCAACACCAAAAAGCAAGAAAAACTTGATTTATACCTTAAATGAACAGAAAACACCTGCCGCGTTTTTTTCTTATATATATGCTGACTACATAAAACCTTGTTCGAAAGCAACAGACAGTTCAGTAAGCTAAACACAGACGAAGGGAATCTACGAATTATACAATGCTATGCTCTGCTGATGCTCTGCTTGTAAATGCTTAAGAAGCTCCTTAGGAAATGATCAGCTCCAGCTTTCAGCTAATAAAATTCTACTAAGAGAAGGCATTCGCCAAACATTATCGACAAAAATTGTTTATAAACATGATCATAAAATTTAAATGTCGACATCCATGCATGGATGTCTTATGGTATGGTAACGTAGATAACCATGTGTAGGGTAAACAGTAAACTTCAATGATAAACAATTTTTGGAAAAATATTGTTTGGTTTTCATTTCTTTTATAAGACAAAATAATAAAAAAAAAAAATATAATAAAGAAATCTAAAAACGTGTTGGTGGCTATACAAAATTTTTATTTTAAAGTGCACAACGAAACAATTTTTTTAATGACACGAATCGACGTTTCGGATGAATGGAAAAGAATATGAAAAAAAAATTGATAGGAGTTATTTGAAAACTCCGAGGGGAGGATTGAAAGTATAGCAAAATCTTTGGCAAACAGGACTTACTAACTCGACCATTTCGAGTAAACGTTACATGTTTTGTTCGAACATACGTTCATCTTAAAAACGTATTTTAATCACTCACATCTCACTTGTTGTTTTCTACCTAAATCCCAGT